TACCTTCTTTGTCCGATGCAACCAATCATTTCCACCAAAAGGATCGTTCCATTTTCCCGTGGTCTTCTTTATCTATTTTTCTTTATATATCAATTCCAATAAGCAGCCATCAGGTAGAGTTATGAAAGGGAGAAAGGCAAGCCCTCTTTAGCTTCCCCTTGTTCATGTAAGCATTGCTTCCTTAAAAGTGGCCCGCGTTTTGCCGAAAATAACCAAACCAAAATGTATTTCTTTAAAAATTTAAAAGAATTTGCATGGTACTTTTCAGGAAATTCACTGAGATTGGCACCAAAATCCGCACAACCGTTCTCATGTAAAAAATTAGATTGCCCAATTAAATTTGGCAATGGCTGATGTGGCTTGGTTCCTTCCTGCTCAACGCGGTCCAAGTTATTATCCTCCAAAGTTCAGCGCTTTCAATTCGCTTCGTGTATGAATTTTCAAGGTTCCGCGTCTCAAAATTCAACCCGGAACGCGGCAACAAGGCTGGTTCGGAACTTGCAAGAAGGAAAGTTGATGCGCGAGCCTCACCTCTCACAAGCACGACGCGAAGAAACAAACTTAATTAAATTCGTTAAAGTAATTCCGAGCCGAATAAGTGAATATTCACATTAAAAGCCTCCGACGCCCCGGCCGACCCGGTGCCGGCCTCGTACTTCACACTTTTGTTTCTTACGAAATTCCGCCCCGAAATGAACCGATGAAAATCTCGGCGGCTCATGAATCAAAGTGTGAGTGAAGCTCCGGGGAAAGTTTGCGGCGGCCCGATCACGTTATTCTGCAGTTCTCAGGAAGAAGACCGTATGAGCCTTCAACCGCTGCCAAATTTCCTTCGATGAAATTTGTATTTTCAGGGAAACGTGTAAATATTTCTCGTCCAATTTTTAGGAAAGTTTCATTCGCAATTTGATCCAAAAATATCTGATAATCTCAAGGTAGACTATACAAAAATGCTTTACAAAATAGCTCCACCGAAAGTTTGTGGCGGCCCGATCACTTTATTCTGCAGTTCTGAGGAAGAAGACCGTATGAGCCTACAACCGCTACCAGATTTCCATCGATGAAATTTGAATTTTCAAGGAAACGTGTGAATATTTCTCGTCCAATTTTTAGGAGAGTTTTATTCGCAATTTGATCTAAAAATATCTGATATTCTCAAGGTAGACTATACAAAAATTTCCTAATAAATGAAAATATCCGCAAAAATTTGACTGCGTTCGAATTTTCGTGCAGAGCCATCCAAAACACATCATTATGATTTCCGAAGATAATTTGTGCGTCTTAGGGAACGTAGCTACGTAGCTATTATTAACGAACACGTACCTCTGTAAAATACACTCTCAAGCCGTATTTTTAGTGAGGATATTGTACAAATATTATATATCCGTTCATTATAATTTCATTCGCTTACCAACAAGAAAATTAAAGGTACGCGGGTCTGCATAAAAAAAGCAATGGTTTTTGTGATGCATCTTTCTCAAATAATTTTAAACACTAAGTCTTAGAATAACCTGGATTTTCTATATGATTCACCGATGCTCCAAAAAGTCAAGAATTTATTTTCAAAAAACGAATTTTATGGGAGAAAACTCGCTTCTCCTGAAAACCGGTGTGTGGAAGGGAAATACCTGGATTATTTTCGGATTTATTGACTGTAATTACTCAAATATATATTCATTATGTGACTAAAAACCTCTCACTAAATATTCAATTACGACCTATGCGTGATTTAATTTTTTAATCCATTTATAATCCTTTCTTTGAAGATTTCGACATTTTATGAGGCAAAACCCCTATCAAACTCTTGTGCCCTTATTTTTGCCAAATTTTCTACATCTATTTTGATGGAGCTCAAGAAGCACTTGATGTCTACAGAAACGCAGAAAAACTGATTGTTGACATCATGATCGCCGACATCGTGTCGCGTACACTGAAAAAAAAGCTCCGGCCGTCGTACTTACGGGCTATATGGACCGCGTTAAACAGAAAGGAACCAAGCCACATCAGCTGTTGTCAAAGTTAACAGGGAAATTACATTTTTTACGAGAGAACGTCTTTGCAGATTCCTTTGAAATTTTTTAGGAATTTGCTTGGTATTATGGAGAAAATTCAGTGAAATTTTCACAAAAATCCGCACAACCGTTTTCATGTAAAAAATTAAATTGCCCGATTAAATTTGGCGATAGCTGATGTGGCTTGGTTCCTTTCTGTTTAACGCGGTCCATATAGACATACTGTCCGTGTTCCGGGCTAAGAGGCCGAAAGTTTCGGGTGTAGCATTCGGAGCAATCGTAGCTACAAATGCAGAACCCGGAACTTTCGGCCTCTGAGCCCGTAATTTTTACTTTCTCGCTCCCCTAGGGTATAGAGGGAGTATTGTCATCCTCCAAGAAGAAAAAAAAACAAGCAGTGAACTCCAACACAATGTGTTGATAAGGCGCGTCATTAACTCGCATATATCAACCCCTTTGGTTTTCATTTACAGAGAATTCAAAATAGGCAAGTAGCGCAACAAGAGAATTCATACGATCCAACACTTCAACGACGCACTTTGACGAGACTGTGTATTGTGAATGTAGAAAGCTATTCGAACGAATTTGAGTTTTTTGATCTGCCTCAAGCAAAATCTTATCAGATTCTTGAAGAAAAGTGCTGCGGAATAATTTAAGCGGAGAAAGGAAAAATTCTGTCGAACTCTTAGAAGATAAAGTCGATTTAAAAGGTATTTTGGGGCTAAAATACCCAAATCACCGGTAGTAAAAATCCCGTTATATTATTGAAAAGAAATTGACTCGATATGAATAAAATTGCTTTAAATATGTCTTGATTTTGTTACTTTAAACGTCTTTCCATGGAAAGAAGTTCAACCATGTCTATGCTTTATTCATTCATGAATTGAAAGTAAGAAATCTACATCCCGAAAATCTACCGATATGCCGTAAAATATCGTAGAAACTTAATATACCAGGTCGATGCACCCACTCGTTGAATTTACGAATCAATTTCGTGAGTGCACATATGTAAAAGTCAAAATGCTATAGTCATTTTGGGTGCCTTTATTTTTCAAGAAACAATTAGGTACACGTAATTTCAATCCCGAAGAACCATCAATTTTCCGTATAAAATCGATAAAATCAAAATATGTCCACTCCCTGACGTGAAAATAAGATTCTACGTGTGAAAATGCTTATGCATCGATATGCTGAACAGAATCCATGTCTATCTCAAAATTTTTCTCAGAGGTTTGTGTTATTATCAGCTTCCCTTTAAACCCCGGTTCGATGGCCGAATCGGCTGCCCAAAAAGCAAGCCATTTTTGAAGGGTTCTATGAGAAATTCGTGATACCTATTATAGGCTCTAAGGAAATCACCTCATGGCTAAAACTGGTGGTATACATGTTTGAGTGCTAGAATAATCGTATTTAAGGAAATAAGGCATTAAACTATGGAGTCAATTTCTTTTTAATAAATATAACGGGATTTTTTTTTTTTTTTTGGCTTAAACGACTCAAGAGACACTGTAGTTAAAAATATAAAGAATTTTCGATTTGGACATATAAAAAATGTCTAACTCGTTGAGGCATACTGTGTATTGAATGGAGTGCTGCTGTTATTCGACCCTTGTCTTCAGGTCAAAATTCTTACAAGGAAGCCCCTTGCGAGAGGCGAATTTTTTGTAATTACTCCCAATTTTATTCCGTTATATATTATATAATGGAATTGCTTGTCAAATTCTGAGGTCAATTATATTTAATTGTAATTTATACATTTCTCTTTTTCCCTACATTTTATTTTTCGTCTGGCGAAGTTTCGTTGATTTCTTCGGATTTCGAATACTGTAACTTCTCTTCTATTCGGCCGATTTTTATGAATGAGACCTCTTTTACTTCGTGTTTGAACGGAGAGTAAGAAAAAAATTGCTAAGTACACGCGAAACAATTTTTTTTTAAAATTGGACGAATCCTAGCGTGACGGTGAACTGGTTAATCGAGCGTAAGTAATTAGGGTCCCGGCCGCCGCGCCGCCTCGCCGTGAGCCGAGCCGGTTCGGTTATTGTTTTCGAGAACCCGACGCTGGGGTCAGGCGCGAGGGGAAGAGAAGGGTAGGTAGATTTCCATATGTGCGCATTTAGCTTCCTGTATGAGCCACGTTTAGCAAATGGTCTAAAGAGTCTCGAAGCTCATCACAGATTGCACTTACGACTATCACTTACGGCCGTGGCGATCAGAGCAAAAGGTACCAACTTTTGAAAATTATAACAGGGGTTTGGAGATCTGTCAAAGCAACGTTTTGAACAAAACGGAGCAGTGCAATTCTCATTCAAGGAGTGCCGAACTGGTCAGCCATCCTCGAATCAGTTCGCTTGCTTCCGCTTATATATGCATATTTTAAATCAGCGCGCCCCATTCTAAGGTTTTTTTTAAAAAAACCAAGTAACGTAGACTCTTGGTATTCACTGCACATAAACTGATGAGCCCCAGAATGAGAAACAACTTTAAATCATAATTATTGACGGATAAATAAACTTTTTACACGCTTTGGAAAATCTCAGAAGTTCGCGGTAGTCACTTTTCGGTAAGGAACTAAGGGACTCGGTTATTGTATCGAGTGGGGGGTCGAAACGATCGCAAAGGCGGTATACTACGTATACGCGCCAAAAAAGTTGAAATTTCATCATTTCTAGACGTTTTAAGGTCCCAGGAGTCAAAATAACCATACTTGAAAAAATGTGTGTCCGTCCGTCTGACGTCCCCCAAATCTGTCTACAGCGATATCTCAGAATCTATCTGTTCGATTTCATTCAAAATTCTCACAGAACACCATATTTATGGTCGGCTTATGCACGTCAAACGATTTTGGGGTACGCTAAAATTTGGGGGGGCTAGGGTCAAATTTTTTTTTTGTTTCTTCAAAGTAACCTTTATCTCAGTTTTGTCACGATATGTATCTTAGTCATTTCGATCCCGCACGCTTCAATTAGTCCGTGAATTGTGTTGCAGGTGGCGTGGATCCACATCGACCGGCAGATGATCGTGTCCATCCACTACCACGTGATCGCGCGGGTTGCCCGATACAACGTCTCGCACGACTCCCAGAAGACGTGGCTGCTCCACGTGGCCGCCGTCCAGGAGGAGGATCGTGGCTACTACATGTGCCAAGTCAACACCAATCCCATGATCAGTCAAGTCGGCTACCTCCAGGTCGTTGGTAAGTTCCTACACTGAAAAAAAAATATTGCTGAAATTGCCGTGCACGCGGGTATTTCAACTGCATGGTGAGCTAAAAAACGAACGTGCAAACAGAGACAAGAGACCCTCCACTGGCCTCCTAGCGACAGGTGGAAGCTTCTACTTTCGGGGTTTCAACAATTCCTTATGGACAATTATTAGGGAGCAACAGTCATCACGCTAGTTTCGGCTGTTGACTTACCTACATGGTCGATGATGAGCTTCGGATGACGTCATGAGCCAAACAACTTTCCCAAACGTCGGCCATTTTCGGCTTGTTTGCAAAACGAAACTGCCAACACGTTGTTGAACATCAACCATGTAGGTAAGTCAACAGTAGAATGCTGAAGTCTCGAAAGTAAAAGCTTCCACCATGGCCAAAATACTAGTGGAGGGTCTCTTGTCTCTGCGTGCAAACCATGCAGGTAAAATCGCTACACAAATTTCAGCTAACTTACACACACGCAAGTAGGTGATTTTGCTACACTGAAAAGTTACGTCTGTTACCTTTTTAGTTATTCTTCCGTAAATTTCGCTATTTTTCCGTAAATTCCGCTATTTCAGCCTAACTATTGAGCTTTTTTTACTGTTCGCAAAGTACCAATACCAAAAAATGCAGTTACACTTCCAAGCCACTCGATGCAAGATTAACTGCATGAAGGCGCGCAGATGTAGCAAATCGATGTAGCAATTCGTGCTAGTCGTTCACTTGATTCAACACCGTACACGGATAAGAAAGCTTTACGAAGTGAAGCAAATTTTGCTCCACCCTAAATCGGTGAATTAGCAATCCTTTTTTTTCAGTGTACTCTTAAGTAAACGAAACTTTATGGATGTTCCATAAGCGATTGGGGGATCCTTCGAGTTAGCGTCAAGATGTGGAATGATTTTTGTTACAAATACTTTAACTCCGGTGTGGGTGGTGAAGTATCACACGAAACGGAGGGCGTTTTTGACTGGTGACGAAAAACAACCGAGATCCAGAAACTGGGAGGTAGGAGACTTCCTTCTACCTATTTTCCAATTTGAGCTACTGAAGTGTGGCGAAACACTGTTATCGCACCCTGTATTTTGATTTATCACCGGAATATTAAGAGCTGAATGTAAATCCATTGACATCCCCTCCGCTCTTGAAATATCTGCTTCATTTAGACTAAATCGTTCATACGAATGTTCTATTAGCTTTCGTAAAGTACCTTCTATGATGAAATCCACAATGTTGGATGATATAATCCAGATTTATGGAGGGAAATTCTTCAACATAGCTACACAAAAAAAAAAAAAAAAAAAAAAAAAAAAAAAAAAAAAAAAAAAAATCAAGTACAATCGATCAAGAACACCTTCACTTTTTAGTTAACTTACGCAGTGAAACTATTTGAGCAAGAAAACAAGATGATTTTAATAGAGACTTTCAACCCTGTGCGGGAGTGTTCGCATCATAATTTTGCCCGCATCTCCAGCACTAAAATCAGTTTAAGGAGTTGTTTTTGAGAAGGTGTGCCTTTTCCAAGCAAAAACCTCTGTTTTTGTCATCGCCCTACAAAAATGGCTTCATTTCATTTTATTTTATTTTTATTGTAAGTATTCGAATTTCAATACATTATAAATGTGTTGTGTGTGTACGTGTGTTGTGTGAAAGCTCTTTCATCAAAGAGCGAATCAGTAATCTCCGAGGGTGTTGACAAAGTGTGCGAATGAAGAAAAGTTTCGAAAGACTTTGTGTGGAAATGTCAAAATCGCAAATTTTGTGCGGAAACGTTAGCCTTCCGTTTTGCAAAGAGGGAGTACAATGCAAAATGTCGATGATTTACACAAAAAAACGATAGTGTTTAAGTCGGGAAAAAAGGACAAAGTAAAAAAAAAGACAATCCCGTGTGGATCATAATTTCCTAAGTCTGAAGTTGGTTCGCGCTACGAGGCGGAAAGGGAGGCGCAATAAATAAAAAGGAATAGTAAGTAATAACCGTATAGGTACAAACATTTCTCACCGGCCAGAGGCTCGATAAAACAATGGGAAATGAAGAATTGCCGCTCTAACTTTTTTATGCGCGGGGAAGGGCGAGAGGTTAAAGGGAGTAATTGCAGGCATGCACAAGTAACGGCAGCTGCAAAATGAAACATCTTTATTGCTCTTGACAGTATTTAATGATCCAGGGTCCCCCTCTCCTCCAACCACTCAGGAAACTTAATTCAAAGAGGCTTCTACCTTGTATGAGTGCCCGTAACATATCCATACACTGCCATGCTAAGGAAGAACGCCGTATGAACATTCGAGAGTTGCTAAATTGCCCCCAGATAAAGCATGTATTTTTGAGTTAAGTTATACATGCATAATTTTCCCAAAAATTTGCTGATATTTTGAATTAAATTGTGAACTAAATTGTCTGAATATTTGGGAAGAGAACATTCACGAATTTTCCCGAAATTGAGTGATTTGTCAAAGGAAGTTTGGCAACGCCTGAAGTTTCATACGGCGTTTTTGCTAAGCAGTACACTCCTCCAACTTCTGAGAGTGAGCCTCAACTCCGATGAAGGATGTTTCCTCCCCAACACCGGGGGACAAAGGGCTCGCTTTTAATGATTGCCCCCACAGGGGTGGAATAATACTGGTACTCCGTCAAAATATTGTACTCCAAGAACCTCGGCATCTCAAGGGCACCGATTATTCTGCACCCAACGAGTGTCGAATTAGCGTTTTTAGGCGCACCTTTCGCTTTTTTCACCGAGTGTTATAAGTGGATTGCATCTTGCGAAAAGGAATCAAGAGCACTGCAATGTCGCTAAGATTGTGCAACTTCTTTTGATTGTATATATGAATTGATCATCTAAACAAAGTTTATCTTTACTCCCAACAGACTATAAATTCGAGACAAAAATTATCTTTGTAAATTCAATTTGATGCATGAATTCAATAATTTTACCGCAAAAAAATGTAAGTTGCATAATCCTAGAGACATTGGAATGCTCTTGATTTCTTTTTGCAGAATGTAACCCAAGTTTGAGGCCCAGCCGAGCCGCGATTAGTAGAATTGAACCAAGCCACATCAGTTATTGCCAAATTGAACTGAAAAATGTAATTTTCTACATCAGAACATTTGTGCGGATTACTTTGAAAATTTTTAGGAATTTGCTTCGCACTATACACAAAATTCACTGTTTGCACAAAAATCCGCGAAACCGTTCTCATGTTAAAAATGAAAGTAACCCAATTAAAGAAACTCTCAAAATTTCGCCCCTTTTTCGGTATTCCATTCAACCATCGAACCAAGGTTTAAGTGGAAGCTTATAATAACAGAAAACTGAGGAAAACATTTCAAGATAAGTATTAGAACCGTTTTCGAGTTACAGGGAGGCAAAGGGGGGGGGGGGGAGGAGCAAAGGGGTCAAACTTCGGCCTTATTTTTCGCTATTTTCTTGTTGAATTGATGTGTCGACGGGGTTGTTATCGTTGTTTACACATGTTATAATTGTTATACACACCGATTCTTACGTATTTTTACACGAGAAATCGAGTTTTAATGTTGACGAGTCGACGTATCGATCGGTTATGTCGATTTTTTAAGATTCTTAACGGAAAATTGACGATTTTTTGAGATTGAAATTGTTCATTTATGATTCATGGATGACAAGTGCAAATCTCGGAAAACACGAGTTTTCAGGAGAGTACAAAAACTGTCTGCATTCCTCTTTATTGTCGGTAGAAGGATAATAAATATTGAGGATATCAAGAATAAGATATTTTTTCAAACTCATTCAGCAGTTTCAATAATTTCTCGAACTGTTAAAAAATGCGGCAGAAATGCCGAGATTCGCGTTTTTGGCACTAAGAATCCACACTTCATCAGGAGATACGCATTTTTGCAATTAGTGTTTTAAACTTGTTGGTGGATTTGGATCATTTAAAGACTGAAAAGAGGGTTTCACACTTAAATTACTTATCAGATATAGATTTAGTTGCTCATCGATGCATCGATCCATCCATGCTTTACGCTTTCCTAATGGACCAGTGGACACAGTACCTTTTCTTCAATTTTGATTATTCACAGTTAATCAACGAAAGCTCATTTTATTCGTGCGAAACTTTTTAAATAAACAACCGATTTTGAGTAACTTGCGATCTTGTAAACGGCGAATCTTTCAGTTTCGCTTCAGAATACGATGACAGGACCAAGGCGTTAAAATACACAATCTGATCCAGCCGCCTGCACTCTCTTCTTTGAAATAAGACGTAGAGACCAAAACCAATCTTATTATTTTTTCAAAATATTTTTCCTCAGCATTTTTCGATTATGCGGCTCGATTTAAAACCTAAAATTACAAAATTTTTGGTCAACATCATTCTATAATGCCACTCACAATAGAAACCGAGGAGCGCCTTCAAATCAATGCGTAAACTTAATGCAAATTTCTGATACCACTATTCGTGCGTCAAAGCAGTCATTCTGCATACCCGGCCATTTGAAGGCGAATCATTGACTTCATGGAACGGGGTACGAATTGAAGCGATTACTCGATGGGCCGCCCCCTAACCCCTAAGGAGCCAAAGCCGGGGGCCCCCCCTGACCCCTAAGGAGAAAAAGCCGGGGGCCATCCCCCTGAACACTAAGGGCCCAGCCCCCTGAACCCTAAGGAGCCGCAGGCGGGGGCCAGCCCCCTGAACCCTAAGGAGCCAAAGTCGGGGCCAGCCACCTGAACCCTAAGGAGCCAAAGCCGGGGGCCAGCCCCCTGAACACTAAAGAGCCAAGGGGGGGTTCCAGCCCTCTGAACCCTAAGGAGCCAAAGCCGGGGGCTGCGCACCAGGCACCTCGAAATCTGACCGACCAGAAACTACAATAAACGGGATTTGTTATCCACCCGAAATTTTACTTGACCGGAATTTGAAAATCTTAATATATATTTTACCGGAAATTTGCCCCAATCGAATCTTGACTCAACTGGAAATCGACCCGACCAGAAATGTGGTCCAATCCAAAATTTGGTTGTTCTCGGATGGAGAATAATCAATTTCAATTACAATATATCATTGATTTTCCTTAAATAACTGCAAAATTCGATATAAGCGATTGATATTTCGACTCGTCAACGTTCAAAATCGATTCTAAAAGAAAAAATACGTAGATGTTGTTGTACTTCTGTCATATTAGGTGCATTTAGTCATTCACGAATCAAAAATGAACAATTTCAATCTCAAATAATCGTCGATCTTCCGTAAGGAATCTTAAAAAATCGATATAACCGATCGATATATCGACTCGTCAACATTAAAAATCGATTTTGCGTGTAAAAATCCGTGGCCACCGGTGTGTATAACATGTGTAAATAACGATAACAACCTCGCAGACACATCATTTCAACAAGAAAATCAGTGGGGTGGCGTGAATTGCGATGTATCGATTGTTCTGCCATTTAAACCTATGATGAAGAATTCATTATTAAGGTTTTCGCTGCGAACACCCTGTTTATCGATCCTTTTCCATAGGTTTAAATGGCATAACAATCGATATATCGCAAAGCACGCCACGCCACTGAGGAAAATAGCGAAAAATAAGGCCGGAGTTTGACCCCTTTGTCCCATCTTAACTCGAAAACGGTTCCTATACTCATCTTGAAATTTTTTCCTGAGTTTTCTGTCAATATAAGCTTCCACTTAAACCTTGGTTCGATGGTCGAATCGAATACCGAAAAAGGGGCGAAAGTCAGCCCTTATTTTGGGAGGCTCTTTGGCAATAACTGTTTTGGCTATTGGTTCTGCTTCACGCGATCCAAATAAAGATTAATACAGAGGGACCGAGTCCCAACAAGATCGAAATGAGAAAAGGAGGGTTGAAGTTTTAGTTCCCTGTGAGACTCAATGGTAGAGATCAAATATTTTTACCCGATTTGAACATTTGAGATGAGATAATATCCGGCTCATTAATCTCTATACATCTAATTACTTTTTTTCAAAAATTTAACATGGTTCCGTTATGTTTAATTCATTGAGAAAAGGCAAGTATCAAATGTTCATACGGCGTTTTTCTTTAGCACGGCAGCATATTTCATCTCTTTAAAAAAAATTAGATATAAGCGGAAATTTTGAAACGCTGCAAAAGTAGACGCATTTTCCTTCTTCAGTTATCGATGTGCACAAGCACCCCTCCTTCTCGCTACGTCACAATTTTTCCCCCATTCAAACTTGAGGAAGCCATCCTGGACGAAACAAAATAACGACTCGGAAAAAAAGAATTCGCGGAACATCCCCGACGAAGACGAAATAATGGCGCGGTGGCGCACAGTGGATCGAGTCAATCAGAGAGGTCGGACATAAAATTTTCGACCAAAACTGCCAATTCTGATGTTTATTTCGTCGCATTTTAAATCTTAGGGGGTGCTACTAGTAGAAACTTTCACGAGAAAACCAACACTGAAAAAAAATTCTCGGCGTTTTTACCAAGGTCCGTTGATACCTTTACCATCTCACTTTTTTTTTACTAATTATTGGTAATTTTACCAAGACAGACTGGACCTAAAAACCGGTAATTTTACCGTGATTCTCAGGGAAAAATACCACTTTTATTGGTAATCAATTCCCGGTAACTTTGCCATTTTATCTTGGTAATTCTACCACAGTCAACAAAAAATATTGGCGTTTTTACCGGGGTCCAGTAAAATTACCGAGAAAGTCAATAATTTTACCGAGATTTCTTGGTCAAATTACCAATTCCATGAATGGTAATTTTACCAAGTAAAAACTGGGATCAAATAGAACCCTGAATTCTTGGTAATTTAACCCTTTTCTTAGTTAATACACCGAGATGTTTTTTTCAGTGCACGAGAAAACCAATGGAATCACTTTTAGAACCTTAAAATTTCGTATGAACGGAGTTATAAGCTTTTAAAGTTTCCAAATTTTGTCCGACCTCTCCCACTGTCTCGACCCAGTGTGCGGCGAAGACGAAATAATAGCGCCGTGGCGGAATAACGGAGGAAAAAATATTCCGGAGTCGGTGAGCCCGGACCGCCGCGATGATGATCACTAATCTAGCGGAAAGTTCTATTCCCTCGGGCAAGATAGATTCAAAAAGTTGGCCTTCCCCGCGGTGCAACCTGGCCTCGATTCGGAAAAATAACTTTTAATTACTCCTGACACCCGGCTATATTGAATAAAGGATGGCCCGCGCCCGCCTTGCGAAAACTTCCGCCAGCGTAAATAACGCCGAGCGACCGCGGGAAAGAAAATAACCTCACTTTTTACATGACTTTTTTTCGCATTGCTCTGTGCATTATGACTTCGAAATGTCGTTTGTTGAGCGTGAGTCTAGCGATTAATCTGTCGCAGAGGAAACAACGAGTTTGTCTCTCGCGTCGAATGTAAGGACGTAAGAACGCACGTAAGGGACTGCGTCTGCGGGAAAGAAAATAACCTCACTTTTCACATGACTTTTTTTCGCATTGCTCTGTGCATTATGACTTCGAAATGTCGTTTGTTGAGCGTGAGTCTAGCGATTAATCTGTTGCAGAGGAAACAACGAATTTGTCTCTCGCGTCGAATGTAAGGACGAAAGAACGTACGTAAGGAACGTAACGAACTTCTGCGAACGTAAATAACAAGAAGCGACCGTAGGAAAGATACGGCACTTTCTTTTGATTTTTACATGATTTTTTTTCGCATTGCTCGGTGCATTATGATTTCAAAATGTCGTCTTTTGAGTGTGAGTCTAGCAATTGGACCATGTTAAGCAGAAAGGAGCCAAACGACATCAGCAATTTCCAAATTTTATTGGGCGATTCAAATTTTAACATAAAAACGGTTGTGCTGATTTTTTTGCAAATTTCGGTGAATTTTCTGTAAAGTACGAAGCAAAGTCCTTAAACTTTTCAAAGGAATCTGCAAAAACGTTCTCCTGCAAAAAATTGAAGTGCCCAGTTAAATTTTGCAATAGCGGATGTGGCTTCGTTTCTTTTTGCTTAACGTGGTCCAAAAATTTCCTGAAATTTTTGTCAACAGTTCTTTCAAAAAAGTATGAAATGACCTGCAAATCGCAACATTGCAATCGAATAAATACATTTTGCAATTTATGCTATTAAAATGCCGTATCAATATTGAAAGGTTCCGGAAAACCTTTACCCCCAAATCTTTCACAGATCATCATTTTCAGAACAAAGGAGCGCGTTTCTATTCCAAGGCTGCAAAATTGACTTGATCAAGTCAATTTTTCTCAAAAATATGACTGCAATTATTTCTTATATTAGTGCCTAGAGACACCGCGGTAGAACTCGCAGTGAAGTAAAAAGGTAACTTAAAAGGTGTCCAAAAATCGGAACAGTTGACACTAACCCAATTTTTGAAAGCTTTTAATACGATTATTCCAACCTTCACGCTCCATAACTTTAATAATTGGCACAACTTGCGTTCGACTCAACTTGAACAGATTTGTCGTTTTCGTAGAGAAAAGCTGTATCGACATTCTCTTTTGATTTTGAAAACGCTTCCTCGAAGAAGATTTAAGCTCATAATCCTCCCCCTTTCGTCTTGTGATTACTTCATACTCCCGCTAAATGATATCAACATTCTTGGAGAAAAATAATTTCGACGGGTCTGCATTTGCGCGATGATCAAAGGGGCATGACAAATTTTTTTCTTAGAATCTGTAGGGGAAGTTTCCTATTCTTTAGTAGAGAAATTTCCGAAAATCAAGTAATCTTTCGCCCGAAAAGCAAACATGGAATTCTAATTAAGAATAAGTTATGTTCTTCCTCACAATGGTCATGCGTCATTCGCGTCATGTTCTGCATGATCATCCAAATTCCTCCGCGATCCACCTATAATCCTCATCGGACGGTTGGAAACGTTGAGGATTAAAAAATGACAGCTCTTTAGTTAAGCTACGACGTGAAATACACTTTATTTAACGGCATTGAGTACTTTTTTTTTTCAGAGGAAAGCAATCGAAATTGATATCTGTAGAATTAGAGCGGATTCGCTTTTTTTCTTTTTTAAAGCTCGGTATTTCGAGGAGTTTTGTCGGTATAGATCCGATCGCACGTAGCTAATGAAGAGGAGATATTTTCTTTGACATTTTAATCGTGTGTCATACAGACTTTAGTTATTGCCGATTGGAAAAAATTCCTCCATATGAAGAAGATACGGTATCTTCGTGATTCAGTTTCTTTGATAATATCATTCGATGAATTCCTTTTTTCCTCCTTTTGCCATGTCGAAAGCTGAATCCATGAGAATCACACCAGCTCTGTACTTAAAATTAACGAAATTTGATTTCAACTCGAAAATGAACTCTTAAGAGAAAATACGAGAGAATGTGTAATTTAATTCAAAGTCGTCCAAATTGCATACCTATTCTACCGTGCTACCGCACCGTATGAACATTGAACATTCGAGAGTTGCCAAATTGCCCCAGATAAAAAATGTATTTTTGAGAACGATTATGCGTATTTTTCCTTGAAATTTTCAAACATTTTACACGAAATTGTGAAGAAAATTGTCTGAAGAAATGGAAGAAAAAAATTCACGATTTTCCCGGTAAATTAAGGTTTTATCGAAGGAAATGTGGCAACGTCTGAAGGTTCATACGGCGCTCTTCCTTAGCACGGCAGTTTTGAAAGAGAACCGCTGCTTCTTGCTTTTATTTTCATTTATAAGAATGCAGCAGTACGTGTTTCTTCCAGTTCATTTTTCGGCTGAATCGATACGTTCTTTTTTTTTAACAGTTCCTCCGAATATTCTGGACGATCAGACGACGCAGTCTTCCGTGGCGGTGCGGGAGAACTCCAACATCACGCTCACGTGTAGAGCCGAGGGTTTCCCGTCGCCAACCATCAAGTGGAGGAGAGAAGACGGCCAGGGCATATCCGTCGACAAAAGGACCAAAGGTAAGTGTACATGAACCGAGAGGGTGCGAAAGATCCTCGATTTTTAAAAATATTAGTGAATAAAAGTAGCGCCGTTGGGTTTTCAGTCCGTGTCACGGATGCGTTACAAGAGGAGTGGGAGGTAAAAATCCCGATTATCTGCGTTATGTATTTTATGTACGGCCCCTAGTCGTAGTAAGATCAAACCGCGACAAAGAAATTGACCTGATGCAAACATTTGCCAGAGCAAAAATGAATCAGTGAGTTCTAAAACAAACTTACTCGGGTTTTTTTCGATTTTCACTTTTCTACGGTTTAGTAACACTTAAGGATAGAAGCATCTGCACCAGTGGCGTGGCGTGCTTTGCGATATATCGCTGTTCTGCCATTTAAACCTATGGTAAAGAATCGATTACCAAGGTGTTCGCTGCGAACACCCTAATTATCGATCCTTTTCCAAAGGTTTAAATGACATAACAATCGAAATATCGCAAAGTACGCCACGCCACTGATCTGCACGCAAAAGGAAATTTCGAAATTGCAATCGGAAGTGCTCGAAACAGCGACGGGAAATGGGAAAAATCGAAGTATTTCATCGGAAATACCAATTTTTGGCCATTTCAAGGGGAACGGTGACCATCCGATTTTGCGGTTTCCTTTTTTCGGTTCAGTATACCTTGTACCAACAAGTTATATAAATATTCAGACATTATTCCGGTCGAAAAATATACACTTTTCAATGCAGACCATGAAAAATCAGTATCTGAAAGTCGGTGAGAACGAAAACACACCAACTCGGAAATTTTTAAACGCTTAATTCTCTGTCATCAAACATGGTGTATCGATTTCAATTTGGTGCTTTACAGAGTCTCCAAGTACTTGTCCTTTGGCACCAAAAAGGTTTTTCTTAAACTAACTTCTCCGCCCGCTGCGCAGTTTTAGGTGTTTCTTGAACAATTTTGTTTTCCGAGTTGGTGTGTTTTTGAACTCACTGATTCAAAATGAGAGTTGACTGATAGAATGTGGCCCAAAAATCACAATGAGCGTATCGGCAAAGTCTGATATGCTCTTCTAACTTCGCAATTTGCGTGAGGAAGCGTTTTTTTGAGCTTCCCACTTCAAAAAAGATACTTTGGCACAGGTGAACATTTCGTAAGAGAAGTCGTTCCGTCCAACACTTCCGCACTACTAGGGTGCAACGCAATATTCAACATGGACGACGCCCACCCTCCATAACACACGTGACTAGACGGGATTCAACCCGCGTGTTTATATTTACATTTTTCTTCCGTTGATAGAGGCCATGGTGCTCCGTTCTCACGATTTACTCGCGGAAGCGTCAGCTATGTTGCATATTGTGTAGCATCCTACTGCACAAGGGCTGAATGGAACGACTCCTTTAACAATTTTTCACCTGTGCCGCAGTATCGTTTTTGAAGCTAGAGGCTTTTAAAAAACGCAAAATTCTTGCGGCAATGGACCACTAGACAAGGTACGAATTTAAGCAATCTGATACATCTTCCTTAACCAGAATTTCAAGTCCAACACGATTCGCACAACGAAAATTACTGAAACCAACTCTTAACGAAGATATTAACGTTTTTATTTCACATTGCTTACGAGGAATTTGAACTGCCCGAGTGCCCGCTCACAGGAAACTCAAAGCTCTACGTGAATCAAATCGCGCACTACAACGATTTCAGCAAGCTTCTCGATCGAGCAATGTTCATTTCCCATCGTGTGTTGTTCAAACTATAAGCAATTCGTTATAGCTGAGCCAAAGCGTCAAGACTGAGGTTGCCAGATTTTTATATCGCAGACACTATCATGATAATGTTTAGCGCGCCATGTGAATCACGTAGAGCATTGAATTGTAATTAGCGGGTGGTTTGAATTCACGCATCAGGAATCATTAAATATCTTTGTAAGGAGTTGATTTCGGTAATTTTTGTTGTGCGCATTGTGTTTTACGTAAAATTTGTATTTAGAAACATGTATCAGAATGCTGAAATTCGTACCTTGTCTAGTGGTCCATTGTGAAGTTAGGAGTACATTACAGACTTTGCTGATGCGCTAATCGTAATTTTTGAACCATTTTCTATACGATCAACTCTTATTTTTGCTCCAGAAAAGTTTTCAACAGGCCCAATCTAATCAAGGAACATACCCTGTTGTATGGTCTGTTCACCTTTCACAAATCGAACTTATGTCGCAGGCAAATAGTAAAATCAGGCATTTTGTCAAATGCCTAGGCAGATAGTCTAATATTCTAACTGATGAACTGATGAACTGATGAACTCTTTCCTGAATTCAGACAAAATAATCCATAGTTCCTGCAAGAAAAAATTCTTAGTAAAAATCTGCAGCACACAATAGTATATTAAACGATTTTTATCTCATGAACAGACACTGATTTTTAAATTTTCAGCATGAAATATAATACAGAATTTTCGGAATTTCAACATTTAAAAATATGAGAAGCAATTGAAGAGGAAGGGACAAAAAGAGCCCGTAGTTTTGTTGAATTATTTTTCCAAAAATAGTGAAACATCGAGCGAGCTCTTCGCCGTAAAGTCACAAAATTTTGTAGACCGTCAAAATTTGCCTATCTGCCTAGGCATTTGACGAAATGCCTGATTTCACTATTTGCCTGCGACACTTATATAATTCAAAGGTGCGGAATGATCCTGATCGCTCATGCAAAACACGTTCGAAAAACGTCACTCTAAACTATATTGATCGCATCTCGCGGATAATCCGTTCACCGTGGGGTTGCAATACAACAAAACAGCCGTCACAAATTTCAGTTACCATTCGGTCAACATATAAATCCATACCCATGACCCGACCGGCCGACCGGGGCGCCCGAGCAGAGATGTATTGTCGTCGAAAATTAAGCCAAGGCTTTATGTCGCCTCCCAATCCTGAAGGAATCGTAACCCCCAACGCCCAGCGTCCTGCACTGCCATGCTAAGGAAAAACGCCGTATGAACCTTCAGGCATTGCCAAATTTCCTCTGATAAAATACTATTTTATTGGGGAATTGTAAATATTTGTCATCCCCCAGATAAGACAGAAATATTTAGCCAATATTTAAACAATATTGTTTTGATATTTATGCCAACATTGGTTAAATATTGAGCCAATGTTAAAAGTATACACCATATCGACGGTGAAACTACCAAACCACGTATCTCGGTTTGCGACGTCGCAGACTTCCTGTCATACTTTATTTTTTAAATGAAAAACTACTTAGCGTCTAGTCTTGAAAATTTCTGCGAATTTTCCTCTTTGTGCGGAGAAAATTCTGTGAAAATTTCAAGGAATGATATTGATTTGGTCCACTTCAAAAAAATAAAATGCGAGCGTAGATTTTTAAACACCGCAAACGAGATACGTGGTTTGGTAGTTTCACCGTCGATATTTCCTTTTGGCATAAATACTGTGCCAATACTTTAAAATACTGTGCCAATATTTTTATAATATTTTGGATAGACATATTATTTTTAAAAATACTAAATAAATATTCTCTATATATTTTTTAAAAAAAATAATTGTGATTAAAATATTATCAACATATTGTCAGTATTGTATAAATATTGCGACAATACTGACAATATTTGCCCAATATTGTAAAAATATTATGTCTTATCTGGGCCAATCTTTTAGACAATTTTGTTCGCAATTCAATCTAAGATATCTGAAAATTTCAAGGAAAAATAAGCATACATTTCGTCAAAAATACATGTTTTATCCGGGGAAATTTGGCAACTCTCGGATGTTCATACGGTGTTTTTCCTTACCACGGCAGCGTACAGGTGGAACTAAGTGTTAGAACGTGCAGCCCCGAATGGCCGGACTTGCGTCGGGAAGAATGAAAAAGAAAACTCGCGGGAAGGATTTGTGGCCGCGGCGAGGCGGGGTGTCTAGCCACCCCTACTGCTCTACGCTTGATTGCAACCATAATATTTATTGGCCTGCGACGTGTCAGCCCCCCCCCTCCCCCCCTCTCACGGGCCCCCCGCGGAAAATCTGTTATCGGAACCTTAAACCTCGAATACTCTACTTTCGCTTTAAGAGTTTTCTTTTTACGACGGTGTTGGCCGGTTTAGGGCCCGCATAGTTTGTTTATTCAGTTCATTTGGGGTTGATAGCTAAACCACTGCCGGCCGAATGGGGCTCCTCGCGCCGGGCTTCGGCATTATTTATTTTAATGCTTTCCCCGGGGTTACGAGTCGAAGTCAACTCCCCCGTTTAGTCGCTACTTCCTCCGTCGTTCCCCAGGTGAGCCGGACGCTTGTTTGATAACGGAGATTTCAGGGTTTCGAACGATCCGATTATAGAAAATGTGCTCGCGTAATGACAGAACACAGGGTAAACTTGTGTCCTGTTACAAAGTCTTAGTTGTTTGTTATTTTATATTGCCTTAAGTTTTTAAATGATTCGATAGTATTTTTTCATGCGTGTAAAACAGTGAAGTATACCTATAGAGCGGCTACTTATAGGCAGGCAATCTGCGTGATGCACATGGACTGATTTAGACTGTCGATGTTGGGTGGAGGGTAAAAACTGAAGTAAACCTATAGCTTCAATCTTTGTTTTCGCTACATTTCGCCCATTATCCGTGCAAGTATGAATCTGTATACCTCACAATCTTTGTTTATTATTTCCGAGATGACTTGGAATCTCCGGCTCTTGGACGAAAAATAAACTACACGGAGAAAAAAAATTCGTGCGTGGGACCCGAAGTTGAGGTCATATGGATCTCTGAAGTTTTCGGATCGCGTACCTGAAAACTTGAGGTCCAGCTTCCGAAGTTCGGGTCAGACATCGAGGCACTTCAGTATGTACCGGAGTACTTCAGATTTGTGACCCGAACCCTTCATGTATCGAAGTACTTCAGATGTCTGACCCGAATTTCGGCAGCTGGACCTCAAGTTTTTAGATACGTGATCCGAAAACTTCAAAGATCCACATGACCTCAACTTTGGGTCCCACGCACGAAGTTTTTTTCTCCGTGTAAAAAGTTTTCGACACTATTTTTACCATCATAATTATATTATTTGACAATGTACGGCAGAATCTAGTCAGTTTCTTGCATCAGTTTACGTATTAAGCAGGGGGGTTAATCCAAGTAAACCTCAACTATGCAGTATGTTTAAAACGTTACGGATTTATAGCATTAAGCACATCCATTCTAAAGCTATAGTTTGTTGATTGAAAAAAAAATTGATTTTTATCCAAGCAAGCTGTCTGATCAAGAATCAAATATTTATAAGGGATTTAAACGGAGGAAAAGAGAGTGCTTCTAACTTGTGAGAATCACCACTGCCTTTCCGCCTTGCCAACAAGAACTAATCCCGATGAGCCGATAGACCAGGGTTTTGAATGGAGTAGAGCATTTGGGATCGTGCCAATTCTTTTAGGACAGGCAGCGGAGGCGTGGCTTTTGCGAGTTAATTGAAGTATGACTCTATTTCATCTCCGATCAGCATCTACCAACTGTTGCGGATAAAATGTAGTGCCACTTAATTTTTGGTTGCAGCCGGGCATCTTGCTTTATAGATTTGGAGCACTGACAGAAAATTCTACTCGATATCAACGGGATTTAATTAAATATTTCCCGGCAACTATTAGCATTCAGCCGTGCGTTTTTGTCCTAAATGGCCACGTTTGTGGATCAATATTGATAAAATATCGTGACATCCCATTTAAGCGCTAAATGTTTAGCGCTAAATGATCGCGTCAAAAATATCTAAGTCTTAACTTAATGGGGATTGAATGGATTAAATTAATGGTCACTGATCTTTTTGGCCGAAAAATTTGTTTTTGCACCAAATTATTGTGGTATTTTACCTGAAAAACCCCTCTAGATTTCGGCATTTTGGAAAACATGGAAGGATTTAGCGTTAAAAATAATAGGATGTGGACCTTTTACATGAATTTTCATCGATTGCCAAAATTCAGAATCAACGGTGATTTGCCCAAATTTTGGGAAGCTGAAGCTCTAACTGAGGACACTGTCGTAAAACAATTTTACAGAAAAAGAAATATTTATTTTGCTTGTACCCGAGTTTCTCCGTGCAGTCGAAGGGCTGATTTTTGAAACTTGGAAAACGGCAGACAAAGAAAGCAATGGGACAATAGAGCGATCCTATTGGCTGAAACGGATGGTTGTTATAGACTAAGGGGGAAAATACTGAACTGACTTAGGGGCCTGTTGAGATTTGCCGATAGAATGTATATTACAGTGGCGTGGCGTGCTTTGCGATATATCGATTGTTATGCTATTTAAACTTATTGAAAAGGATCGATAAACAGGGTGTTCGCAGCGAACACCTTATTAATCGATTCTCCACCACAGGTTTAAATGGCATAACAATCGATACATCGCAATTCACGCCACGCCACTGGTATATTACTTAATCCTTTTGTCTTTTCGACTCCTGCAGTCTGGCCGTTTAACCTTGGATCACCCTGTATGTCAGAGAATCACATGAAAAAATGCAATTTTTTGCCATTGCCGAGGCATCACCGGCGAGGGGGAGTAATAGGTGCAATTAAAGAAACTCGAGGCTCGAGATGGAAGAGGCTTGGCTCGGCCAAGGAGGGGAGGGGTGGAGGAGGCGGGGGTGGTCCAAAGTGGGAACAAATGGCGTAAACGGTGCGAAAGAGTGGAGGGCTCCCTTCCATTCTTGGCGCCATTATGGTGCAGCACAGGGACACATTTTCACGTCCCCGTGACGCACTCCGGAAAACACTCCCGACTTGAGCCACCTCAAAGTCAGCGCGGAAAAAACACCTGCAGTTTGTCACCAACACGCCCAGATCGGCACTCAAATTTTTCTCCTACCCGGCTTCAATGTTGCCGGACCGTTTTCGCCCCTTTGACTCGGAAAAAATCAATTCCGTTGGAAGAAACTCCGTGAGAAAACACAATGGTCTTGAAACAAATAAAAAATGTACCCAACAACGGTTTGCAGGGGGTGAGTCTGTGATACGTGTTAATATAAAAGCGCGGCAAAATCGAAATCTGAACTGATCCTAATTTCGAGTTATCGCAATTTGAAATTTTCAAAGCAAATGCAAGTTTTCTACTGATTTTAATCCGTTTTTTTTTATTTATCTGTTCATTGAATCGGTATTGATCTGTTCACGTTTCTATTTTTCGGTCGATTCATGTCGATCGAATACATACCCTCTCGTTACATGCAGATTCCCTATCATACTTTTAGCGGCTCTGGTGCTTGCACTAGAGCTGGGAGTATCAACGGACCAGCTGGGGAGTATCAACGGACCATGTTACATTGGAGAGACCGCGTGTTGGTTGATGGGAATCGGCGCCATTTTCTGCTGTTTAGGGGGGACTGATTTTATTTTAATTGATATCTTTTTCCTGTGAGCGAATGCTATGTTGTGTAGTGTATTTTTGGAATCATGGTGATACTGTCAATAATTCAAAACGGGTCTGTGCTTTAATCTCGCACTGGAAAAAATGTACCTTACGTTTAAAATTTGAAAATTCAAATCTATAAGTTTTCGCGCTTTTTTCGTAGAATGCCGTGGTTGGAGCTTCCTAGTCATACTACTCGACATCAGCTGATAGCAAACAAAGGTTACCAAGGAAACCGTAAACGCGTAACAACTACCTACCGTCGCCAGAGCCGCTTTCCGACGCGAATGCGTTGGAGCTTCCTGCTTGTTTTCTTTACTGGACAATTCGCCTTCTGCTGCGTCTGCAGCAATTGTTGTTACGCATACGTTGTGCGTCCTGATTTCAGCCCATTACATACTTGACTATTTGAAGGCGTTTTATGTGCGCAAGTAGAGCATTCTGTTGGAGAGCAGCAGAGGTGAGATTGAATTGCTATTTCGTTGGTTCTCCGACAGATTGCACTACTTGCGCACAAAAAACGCCTTCAAAGAGTAAAGTATGTAATGAGTTGAAATCAGGACGCACAACATATGCGTAACAACAATTGCTGCAGACGCAGCAGAAGGCGAATTATTGTTCAGCTTAAAAAAAGGAGTATGATAAGTAATCTGCACGTAACGAGAGGGTATATATTCGATCGACAAGAGAATCGAACGAAAAATAGAAACGTGAACCGATCAACACCGATTCAATGGACAAATAAATGAAAAAGCAGATCAAAATCAATAGAAATCTTGCATTTGCTATGAGAATTTCTGGGATATCTCACTTTTTAATGCTTGAAAGTTAGATTTTAGTTGTGAATTTTTCACAGAAAATACTTTAAAAGTAGTTTTAGTTGAGTTCATGAATATTTCAATTTCTTAGAAAACTGCAATGATGCGGCTTGCTTCCCAGCCCCTCCTTTCGGCAATAGAAAATTTCATGGAAAATAAAATCTCACTTTTTAACAAATTGAAATTGCCAATCTCCTTTTGTACCCCTAATCAAACTCAAACCCAAAGCCTGGCAAAATTGTTGATTTGGTTTCCATGAGCGAAGAATGTGCAAGTGTCTGAAATTAGTATCCAAGTAGGATTTTTCCCGAAAAAGTTTCTAAGAATTCACTAAGAAAATGTAATTCCCTTGGAAATTTTGATTGAGAAACACACACACGACACACATATACAATTTACATAAACACAATTTTGCAACTTTCGTTGATTGAAAGTTCATCGAGAAATTTGTTTTGTGTGGATTCTAGTGTAGTATTGTATGATTGGATTTAGAAATATTTCCCCTGAAGACAAGAAATTGGGTGCTTTAAACATATATATATATATATATATATATATATATATATATATATATATATATATATATGAGTCGCTTTTATAGCGCTCTTTGGCGCTGTGCGACGCCTAATCGCCACAAAGCTCGGTCTTCCCACAGGTCATCAGGGAGTTGACAATCTCTTATCTCATTTAACACCCCCTGTCGCCAACCTCTCACTGGGCGTCCCCTACGTCTCCTCCCAGGAGGAACCCAATCAAGCATCTTTTTTGGCAGCCCCTCTTCCGTCATCCTATTGACATGACCATACCAAACAAGTTGTTTGGTCATGACGTCGAACACGATGTCATTTTCGACTTCCATTATCTGACGCACTCTATCATTACGGACCCGATCTCTCCTAGAAATTCCTGCTGACCTTCTCCAGAAATCCATCTCCGTTGCTCTTAGCATATCCTGTGTCCGTTTCTTCAGCTGCCAAACTTCACATCCGTATGTTAATATACTTTTGACTACAGCGTTGTATATCCTCCTCTTGTTATCTTTGGAAATCCGCTGATCCCAGAGGATTCCATTTAACATCGCTATAGCCTTCCTTGCTAAGGTGTTCCTTTCCCTGATAGCTTGATCCGTCCTTCCATCCTGGGTCAACCGCACTCCCAAGTACTTAAAGTGCTCGCAGCCTTTGATCTGCTGCCCATCCTCCAACTCAATGCTTTGCTGATCACCGCCAAAAGTCATCTTCTCAGATTTGGATATGCTGACTTCCAGACCCCACTTCCGATACTCTTCTACTAGCTTGCGCATCATGTATTCCGCGTCATCTTGATCTTGAGCAACCACCACCTGGTCATCAGCAAAGCACAGAGTAAACAGAGTTTCGAGATCACCCAAGGGGACACCCATACCAGAGCATTTCTTGCTTTAAACGACTTGACTAAACTCCTCCTTTGTGAGCCGCGCATCCTTTTAAAATATTCATCGAGAATTGCTGCTCTTTGAACCCACCCCTTGAATACGCCTCCGCTCTTTGCCATTGCTAAAAAAAAGATAATTTAGCTTGTATCAATTCAAGAACTTACCAATCTTCTGATGAAACAGTAATTTTTTAAATTCATTCTAACATTTGTTTTGAATTTTAATTTTTCCTCGAATTTCTCTGATTGCAGTCAAAGAATACATCGGGGAGCATCTGAACATCTCAAAAGTTTACCGATCAGAGATGGGTGCATACCTATGTATAGCAACAAACGGAGTTCCTCCCACAATTAGCAAACGAATTATTGTAGACGTTGAATGTAAGTATAAGCCGTTTTTATAATTCTTCTCAAGAGAATATTTGGAAGAGCCAACATAGCAATTTAGGTCACGCCCGCCATCTTGGATTTTTAGAATTTTGAAAATTTGTCTAACGATTCGAGTTTTCCGTCAAAAATTACCCCCTGATACCAAGTTTCACAAAAATCGATCAAACAGGCACCGAGCTAGCATTTACCCACCAAACCTACAAAATGACAATAATTCACGGAAAACTTCGAGGAAAACAATTTTAACCTTTGCAGTAATTGAATGTGTCCGAGTTTTATGATTCTGATCGGTCACAAAGCTCGGGAACCGATCGGAACAGGGCCAGGTTGGGTTCAGTTGGGTCACGCAACTAAACTAACTTAAAGGATGTGTGGGAAGTATCACTCAAATTGAAGGCGATTTAATCCTGCATTTCTACGCACTATTTCTACGACTTTGATCAATAAAACTCTTCAGGATATTTATCACTTTCAGTGCACTGAAGGAGGCCATGTTGGGAAAAAAACACTTTTGGATAAATTAATGTTGCCAAATTTCTTCTGATAAAATACAGATACGGTCACAAAGCTCGGGAACCGATCGGTACAGGGCCAGGTTAGGTCCAGTTAGGTCACGCAACTAAACTAACTTAACGGATGTGCGGGAAGTATCACCCGAATTGAAGGCGCCCCAATCCTGAATTTGCACACATCAGTTGAGATACGTGGTTTTGCTTTTTAACCATTTGCGCATAGTTTTACTCACTGTAAATATGTCCAAAATCCAAGCCTACGCTTACCTGATACTTCATTCATAGAGTAAACGTTTTTTTGTTCTCTTGTTAAATTTGTCTTTATGGACACATCAGGTTTTAAAATCAACTACTTGATATTCCGAGCACCTGTTGTGGAAGAATTCTAATTAAAGCCGATTTTTTGCAGTCCCTCCGATGATTTGGGTGCCGAACCAGCTAGTGGGGGCACCGGCCGGGACTGATGTGACCTTAGACTGCCATGCAGAGGCCTACCCAAAGGCCATCAGCTACTGGACCTTTGAGAAAGGCATGATCCTCCACACTAAGAAGCACGTGGTCGAAACGATAGAGAACAGTTATCGCTCTCAAATGAAACTCACCATCAACTCGCTGACTAGCAAAGACTTCGGCACGTACAAGTGCGTCTCAAAAAACTCGCTCGGGGACACTGAGGGATCCATCCGGCTTTACGGTAAGTGCCACCTATAACTAAACGATTCTAACAAAGATTAGGCTTGTTGCTTTCTACGTTCTCGTACTCTTTATCATGTTTTATTTGTTCTGGAAAAATAATTTAAAAAAAACTTTTTGTGAATTTCCTACTAACAATGAAGAGTGCATATAATCACAAAATTGCATCGTAATGTTTATATATATTTTTTTTGTAAGTACAAGTAATTACTCTGAAGAGATAGTCAGAGTCAGACAACGTTTGATGTAGTCTGCCGGCTGATTATTAAAATTGATAGATAAAGCGATAGACAAAGAGACATAGAGAGTACAGAGACATAAAGAGACATAGAGAGTATGGAGCGATCATATTGGTTGAAATGGGTGTTTCCTGTAGACTAAGGGCGAAAATGATGGACGAATATTGGGATCTCTTGTGGGTTGCCGTTAGTTAGTCTATTACCTCCGTCCTTTGTCAATTGCAATAACACGCTTCAACCAATAGGATTCCTCCATAAACCTCTATGTCTTTTTTGTCTATAAGTTTGTCTGCCAATTTCAATAATCAACCCGCTGGCCGATTCTAATTAATGCTGTCCATTGGACCGCATTTGGAAATTAGGGACTACAATTCACTAAATCAATTTTTTGTTCCTCTCATAAGTGAAATCACCACAAGGAAATTTAAAATTTTTAGACGACTCTCTTAATTAAAAGCTAGTTGCCGAAACGTTTTTGTCATCGTTTTCGATCGGGATACATTGGCCCCCCTCTCTCTGTCTGTGGAGGGTTATTTAGGGATGAGCATGCGATTATCTCGACTGTGATACATCATTACGACAAAAAAGGTCATTTGCAGTAGGAATTTATCGTAATACCCAGCAAATGTCGGAGACTAGAGCAAAAACGAGAACTAATGAGTTGTGCAATGAGATTCAACCAGAAATATTGAGGCAAGGAAACAAAGGTAAGGCGAAGAGAAATGCAGGGACAGGTTAAGTGGGGTCGCGCAGTAAGAAACTGCGTTGTCGGATTAGCAAGAGAGAAATCCAATGATTCGTTGTTTCCCGGATGAAAAAATGTAACTACGTTTCAACGCTGAAAAATTTCCAATCGCAATCAGGTTTTAAACTATTGAAAATTTCTCATTGAAAATGTCATCGATTTTCCTTCCATCTATACAAAAAATCAGCAAAAATTTTGACAGAATTCGCGCAGCCATATTTCCGGAAAAATTGAATCGATTCAGTGAATTTTTCAAATCTAGAGTGGAGTTACGTTTTTTCGCCCGAAGGAAGGATATTTATACTGTCCTGCTGAGGAAGAACGCCGTGTGAACATTCGAAAATTGCAAATTTCTTCGAATACAACATTTATTTGTGAGGAAAGTTTTGCATAGTTTTCCTTAAAATTCTCAGATATTTTAGATCAAATGGCGAAAAAACTTATCCGAAAAATTTGAAAACAGGTATTCTCAATTTTTCCGGCGATTTGGACTTTTATCCAAGGAAAAATGGCAGCATCTGAAGGCTAATACGGCGTTTTTAGTTTGCACGCAGTATAGCCGCTCGCGGGAAAAGGACCTTATTTCAAGCGGATCGAATTCTCAGTAGAGGGAGTCTTATCTGGTTAGGTCAAAAAGTCGGATTTCAATATTTCGACGGAAATACATTTTCGTGTCTTACACAATACACTGCGAGCAGGGTATTTTAGTTTTGTGCCAAAAAGAGCATGAAGTTGCAATCCAGCAATTTTATGCCCTGAATTGCAGACTAGAGTTTTAAATAGTTTTTCCCTCGAAACTTCGTTTCTGAACTGGAAACTTCAAACCGCCGTAATTCCGTTTCGGCTTGACAGGTTAAATCGTTTTAGTTTGTCGCAAAATTCTCCTAAAACACTCATGTAGACTTTGGTTTCAATAACTTAATTGAAATGATGAGAGCTGGAGAAGCTTAATTGTATGGCAACGTTGCGAAGTTGCATCTAGAGATTTTATTTATATTCAGTTAAGAATGGTTCCAGATTTTCTTCAGAGATTTTTCGCGACAATATTTGTGATTTGAAGAAAATTTATCGTCATTTTTAATGTAAAACATGTACCCACTCATGGATAAAACGATAAGTTGGCAGACGCAACATTGAGACTTTTAATGCAACTGAACTCCTCTAACCATCATCTTTTTGATCTTTAGTTTTTGATAAATTAACGATGAGGTGTCGCTCAAAATCGGGGGAAAAGGTGTAAAAAACGTTGCCCAGTTACGTCCCTCTTACCTTAGGCTGTGCTGCTTAAGTAGCCTTTGAAGCACTACTACAATTAAGTGAAAAAGAAACAAACACCAAATGGAACTGTAGCGAAAAAAGGACGCGCATTGACGGCGGCGCAGACATACAACTATTCGTACATGATGGATGTCTGTGTTGCATATCTGCGAATTTGAGGGCGCGATGGCATGAGGCGTAGACTCGCGGTCGCAATGCTCCAATCTTTTTAGCATGCTTCAAGAACAATGTGTTAGTGTGCACGATCATAGCAGCATTCCAAAGGGTATTCAAAGTTACAATATTTAAAAGATTCGCTCAATTTTGAGTTGCTGTAACCTGAAATCCCTTTCCCAAGTCACATTTCCCGGCCATAAAACGAATATTTCATATATTTGCAGATACATTTTTTTAGAGTGTACAATACAATCAGTTTCCGGGGTTTGCCAACGATAGCTTTGAGCAGCGACAATCTTAAATAAAAAGCTACTGAATAAATCGACTATTTCATATTTCTGCGGTTTAGTTGTTTTTAAAGCGCACAATACAATCAGTTCCCGGGTTTTGGCAACGATAACTTTAAGCAGCGACAATCTTAAATATACTGGGAAAAAAAAACACATTGGATCTAGAGTCCAGACTCTTGAAAACATCGACAAGAAAAAATACTCTTGATTCAATCAGATTTGAGCTTGAATCAAAAGGAAATCCGCTCAAATTAAGAGGTTTGGTTCTTGATTTAAGCTTAAATCTGATTGAATCATGAGTCCTTTTTCTTGTCAATGTTTTCAAGAGTCTGGACTCTAGATCCAATCTGCTTTTTTCCATTGCAGTTTCCGGGTTTTGGCAACGATAACTTCGAGCAGCGACAATCTTAAATAAAAAGCCACCGAATAAAACGAATATTTCATATTTCTGCAGTTATTTTTAAAGTGCATAATTCACGTTTCCGTGTTTTGGCAACGGGGACTTTGAGGAGCGACAATCGTAAATCAAAAATCCGCCGCTCATATTCGACATGGGGTCGGCATGCAGTTCATAATCGAATAATCCATTTCCCGAGCTTCGACTCGTTAAAACACCGTAAATCACGGCGGGGGTAAAAATCCCCGATTCCGTGTCGTCCGACCAGGGGGTGGCGACCAGGGGGGCGGGGGAGGGTCGCGGGGCCGCGCCGACGGCAAAAAATATGCATCCTGCTCCCCAGGTTTGTTTATTCATTATCCGCGCCCTCCTTCCCGTGAAACATTTTTACCTTTTTTTCCGCGCTCTCGCCATTCGATAGACGTGCGTTTTTTTCTCGGTCTAGTTTAACGCGTCCGACACCCGTGCCACGTTTGGCGGGCCGCTAGTTTGTCTTGGTTTGATTTCTGAGGGTCGTCGTGAATGGTATGGACTATATTTGTCGATAAGCGAAAAAAAGCAATAAGAAATAGCCCGAACTGTATGTAGAAAGGTGGAGAAATGGTGCTGAGTGCACACAATTTCATGGAGAAAACAAAGCCAGAAATGGAGATGTTGCATGTGTGAGGAATTTTCGATTTGACTGTTGATTTAATTATGTAAAAGTTCGCGAGAAACACGATGGTGCTGCTGGTTTGTTTTCTGAAATCAACTCTCAAGCTCAAAAAAAGCTCTCAATTTGAGGCCAAAATGGAGGGGATATCCCACCCTACCCTGAGAGCCCACCTCTACATCAACACAATCTCTCCATGCGAAGATAGGGAGCAAATACATTAGCAGTGATGCCGTGTTTTCATTTTTAGAGTCTCCAAATAAAGTTGCAGCCCTGTCAATGTATTTGCCCCCTGTCTTTGCATGGAGAGTTTGTCCTGATGTAGATATGGACTTTCAGGATAGCGTGGGATACCCCCTCTATTTTGGCCTCACTTTGAGAGTTTTTTTGAGCTTGGGATTTGAATTCAGAGAAAACCAGTGGCACCATCGTGTTTCTCGCGAACTTTTACAGAAGAAATATTAGTCAAATCGCAAATTCCTCAAACATGCAACATCTCCATTCTTGAGTGGGCACTACCTCAAGATTAAAACGAGTTGGCAACATGATTGGCAATCGGCTGCTATGGCGTTTCTTTTTCCGTTTGGGGAACGCAATTTTTATTTCATCGAAGGACGTGCTGTGGCGAGGCTTGAGGCTCACGCCGCGGATCGAAGGGTTGCGAGGGCGGAAGGGCCAAAGTTTACCGAACCTGTTTACTCTTACGCATTGGAAACGTTACATCATGGACGAGGGTACTCGTTCTTTTTCATTAGTTTCCCAAGGAAAAATATTAATCACCGCGGAATATTGCCATCCCTTTGTCCATCCAGCATCTCGAGTTTTTTTGCCTGCGGGCTGATTATATTGAAGCAAAGTGATAGACAAAGAGAAAATGGATTGATCCTACTCTGCGGTGTGAAGGAGAAACGCCGTATAAGCCGTTAGACGTTGCCAAGTTTCCTATGATATAATACGAATTTATTAGAGAAGTTTTCGACTTTTTAGACGATTTTCTTCGCAATTTAATCTAAAATCTCCGAAAATTTTAAGGAAAAATATGCATAACTCTCCTTAAAAATACATGTTTTATAATGGATTTTCAACAGAGGGAAATTTACGAACAGTTAAATCAAAACTCCTGCCGACTCATTATTTTGTGCCGTAGTGCCACTGCGCTTTGAGCTGCTATTTCTCCACGGAGGTGTTGCACAGTATCATACGAGATTGAAGGCACTCCAACGTATCATGATTTATAGCATCTTTCAAAAGTACGAAGTTCCCTCTCGTATTAAATCAAGCAACGACAATACAAAGAGAGCCGTAGTCGAAAAACCGAATAAGTCTTAGTATCTGTATTCAATCAACTTTATCATGATTTTTGAGCTTCATTAGAGGGAAAAGTGACTTGATTCAAGCAGATTTATGTTCAAATTTACAGCCCTAAAGATTTACCTATGAAACAAAGAAAATGACGCTTGTTTAAAGAAGGACAGATGATAATATAAAAAGAAAAGTCACTTACATCAAGCAGAAACCCTCCTTCATTTAGCCATTTTATTCTTGATTCAAAATAAAATCTTCTTGATAGCATACTCAAAAATGTTTCTGCCTAAATCGAGTCACTTTTCTCTCCAATGAATTTCAAAAATTATGGTAAAAGATATTATATACGAATCCTAGGCCTTAATGAGTTTTTGGACCACCGCTCTCTTTTCTTGCCAAAGTACCTTGATTTATTTTGCGAGGAAAGCTCCGTACTCTCAAAGGATGCCTGTTAGTTTTGATACGTTGGAGCGCCTTCAATATCGTATGATACTGTGTAACACCTCTGTTGCGAAATAGTTGCTTGAAGCGCCGCGGCGGGAAAGGGCGACCAGCGTGACACACGCACTGGCGCCTACAAACCTAACAGGGATACTTCACGCATTGCGCAATGCGTGAAGTATCCCTGTTAGGTTTGTAGGCGCCAGCGCGCGTTTTGCGCGGGCAGCACGCTGCACGTCGCGCCGCCGCCGCTGCTCTGCTCTGTGTTAAGCTCCAATAATAACTCGCGGATTTAGCGTTTTTTAACCCATGATTTTAAAATTTTTGCACGCTCTGCATGGATTATTCTCAGTCAATTAAAAATACATGTTTTATAATGGATTTTTAACAGAGGGTAATAATTTACGAACAGTTAAATCAAAACTCCTGCCGACTCATTCTTTTGTGCCGTAGTGCGTCTCACTGAAACAGTCCGAATACGATCAGCGATTTATGTTCCGAATGATTCAAATGCATGTTAAAACAGAGGGGAAAAAAGAAAAATCATCGTCTACTGAGTTGTCCGTTAAATTTAAACCACCGCGTTAATTATGACCCTCTCTTCGTTTAAATAATTTTTCTGAGCTCTGATGTTTATTCACAAGTATAAAAACCAAACGAAATGGTAGCATCTTCATTTTCTGACCTCTGACGACACCCTGATAAAATTAGACCAGAAACAGAAGAATGCGGATTGAAGCGGCGTTGAAATTGAGAGATCAGCAATACGGGCACTTAATAGTGCACATGCATCCGATGGATCTCTAAGAAAAGTTCAGTTAAGCCAAGCATCTCGAGTTCGGATAGAAGCCGGCGATGAAACGCAGTTGTGAAATGAGACAAAAAACCCTCTGGACTAATGGAAAAAGCAATATATTTCCGAACGATTTGGAAACGTGGTGACGAGTGAATCGCCCAGACTAAAGTCCTCTAAAATTGCCACTAAGCCGATTCTCGTAAGCCTCTATTAATCCTTTTCTAATAGCAAGACTACTGCGCCAAAACGCTGTGAAGGCAGGCTATTTTTGGGATCAAAGGAAGGATAAGTATGTTGCCGTCATTTTTGGTCCTTTCTTGACGCGGTTCAGCCAGATACAATATATTTTAGAAACCTCGCACTGATCTTCTTCCCTATTGTGTGAAATTAACTTGCGTCATAAAGTCAACGCTCAGATTCGCCCAACGAGGGCGCCAATGATGCAACTGTTTGACGTTGTAAGCAAGCGACCTGTTAAGAGAACGAAAGCGACAAATTCGTCAGGAAAATGCCACGAAAATAATATTTCCTGAAACCATGTATAATTCAAGTTATAACATAATAGACCGCTAGACAAGGTACGAATTTAAGCATTCCAATACATGTTTCCTGGTCAGAATTGCACGTAGAGCACGATTCGCACAACGAAATTTACTTAAACCAACTCCTAACGAAGATATTAACGATTTTATTTTACATTGGTTACGAAGAATTTGAACTGTCCGCTCACAAGAAACTCAAAGCTCTACGTGTATCAAATTGCGCACTACAACGGTTTCAGCAAGCTTCTCAGTCGAGCAATGTTCATGTCCCACCATGTGTTGTTTAAACTATAAGCAATTTGCTACAGCTGAGCCAAAGCGTCTCAAGATTGAGGTTGCCAGATTTGTATATCGTAGAGACTGTCATGATAACGTTTAGCGCTTGATGTGAATCACGTAAAGCATAGAGTTTTCATGAGCGGGTGGTTTGAATTCACGAACCGAGAATCATGAAATATCTTCGTAAGGAGTTAATTTAGGTAATTTCCGTTGCGTGCATCGTGTTTTACGTGAAATTTTGGTTAAGACTTATGTATCAGAATGCTATAATTCGTACCTTATCTAGTGGTCCATTATGTCTGAGCCCAGAGTAATTAGTTTGTGTTCTATTTTATATTTCAGAGATACCTTTACCCTCGTCTATGTCTCCGAAGGCCACTGAGATCGTGAGCGGTGTCAGAAAAGAAGGTGAGTAACAATGACTGTTCAATTTATGGTGTGTGCTTTGCACTTGTGTCAGCTTGAATTGTTAATTCATTCTGATAAATGTTTGATCTTGACTCGTTGCTGAAAGAAATAGTGTTATTAAATCAAACTATTACACATACATATTTATGTGTGACCGGTTGTATCTTAATTCAAAATTCGAATCTGCGGTAATAAGAACGGACTGAATCACCTGTAACAAAACCGCTAGGCGATCGGAGCAGCCTCAACAGATTAGCCTCCATTTCATTAGATAGGCAATACGGAATCCTGCGAGTATGTTTAGTTGTATCAGATATACCGAACGATGCATTGATTAGTTACATGTTTTCGGGTTGTTTGTTGCAAATGCCCATATCAAATTAGACTTATTTTCGGGGTGATATTTTTTTCAGTGCAGATACGAATTTTTCGAATTTGCCCGTTGATATGTGCCATTAGATAGATGCTTTTATAAGCCAGAAATAGTAATTTCTAATTGCAAAATGTATTCCAGATATGACCCGGGTACGACAAGGCACTTTGAAAGCGCGGAGCGTGCACGAGGGGGAGAAAGGGGGGAGGAAGGGGGGGGAGGGTCGGGCCACTACGCCGCCCTAGGGCTACTTGACAACCCGCACGGAGATTAGATGATTAGAAACTGAGGAAGAGGCGGCCGCAAACGGAACGGGTACCGCACTTACCTAATTAAAATGATTAAATCTACTTGTTTCATTTTTTCACCGAGCAAACGGTAAGGGGAAGAAAAAATCATAAAAAAAATCGAGTCTATATATACCGGGAATAAGCCACACTGCCACAGCAGCCACTTGTAGAGAAAACAACTGAAAGGAAATAATTTATAATTAATCTCATTATTCGCTATGCTCTCGTTCCGTCTTCCTGCTTCGTTCTTTGATCAGTGGCGTGGCGTGAATTGCGATGTATCGATCCTTACGCCATTTAAACCTACGGAAAAAGATCGATGAACAGGGTGTTCGCTGCGAACACCTTGTTTATCGATCCTTTTTTATAGGTTTGAATGGCATAACAATCGATATATCGCAATTCACGCCGCACCAGCCGCCACTGTCTTTGATGCGCCCTCGGAGCGTCGAGCGGAACTACCGAGCTAAGAAAAAACGACGTATGAACATTCGGGCGTTGCCCGACTTCCTCTGATAAAATAAAATATTTCTTCAAAAATTGCGAATGTTTTAATCTGAAATTTACAGAGGATTCCCCTCGCAATTCGATATAGTTCGTGCACAAATTTTGAGGAAGAAAATTCATGAATTCTATCAGAGATAAATGTTTTTTCGAAGAAACTTTGGCAACGTTTCAGGGCTGAAACGACGTTTTTTCTGAATGCGGTATGGAGTATGAGTGCTTCGAAGAGATGCTCAGAATCTTTACTGTATAATTCGTCATCAGAGGTTCTCCAACAGTAAGCCAGGATGTTTTATAACGGATTTCTTTCATCTTCGCGGTAGATAACTGAACCGTCGAATTTAATGTTTATTGATAATGGGTTTCTATACGTAATTCGTACGTTCTTACGTTCTTTACGTAAATTCCGGGTATAGAAACAACAAAGGACCACATGAAAATCCGGCGACTCTACCTTGATGATCATGAAGATCTTTTTGCAGCACTGGAAGAAAAAAACACATTGGATCTAGAGTCCAGACTCTTGAAAACATTGACAAGAAAAAAGACTCTTGATTCAATCAGATTTAAGCTTAAATCAAAAGGAAATTCGCTCAAATTAAGAGGCTTGGTTCTTGTGTTAAGCTTAATCTGATTGAATCAAGAGTATTTTTTCTTGTCGATGTTTTTAAGAGTCTAGACTCTAGATCATATGTGGTTTTTTTCCGATGAGCAAGTTCAGTAGATCATTATGTTTCATTTCTACTAGGCTTGCTATTTTTTAACGAATCAAGCAGAAAGTCATCAAGTCATATTTTGGAAATGTAAAATAAATTACGATTTGGTTTAAGCTTAATTAGCTAAGAGCGCTCTCTTGTCAAAAATGGACAACTAGACAAGTTACGCATTTAAGCATTCTGATACATATTTCTCTTCAAATGTTCACATGAAATACCTTAACCGCATCTTTACATAAACTAGGTACAAATACATTATTACGATTCGAGAGAATACATGTCGGATGTCAAAATGAACCGTTCATCTTCCTCCATTAAGACTCGTAAAGCAAAAGAACTTCGAATATTCTGCCGTGCTAAGGAAGCACGCCGTGTGAACATTTGGGAGTTGCCAAATTTCCTTCGATAAAATGCTTATTTTTTAGGTAAGTCATAAATATTTATCCTTGAAACTTTCAGGAACTTTAGGCGAAATTGCGAACAAAATTATCCAATAAGTTGGAAGAAAAATATCTATAGGTTTCCCTGGAGATTCTTGTTTTATCAAAGAAAATTTGGCATTGCCTGAAGGTTCATACGGCGTTTTTCCTTGGCCCGGCAGTCTTTTTTTCTCAGTTTCATCATGTTGTGAGCCGGTTTCTTTCGATTAAACTCGTTACATTTTGTCGCCGCGTGCGGGCATACCGGTGTCACCGGAGCAGGGTGGCATGAAACGTAAGAAAGAAATGAAAGATTGGAAATTTCAGTGAAATATTTCATGAAATTTCACGAGGCTGTGAAATATTTCATATTTTTCAGGGGCCAGAGTATGCAACCCGCACTCAAACACCCAAAAATAGAAGAAAATCACGATTTTTAAAACCTTCAAAACATAAAAAGGAACTCGTATTTTTCAATATCTTTCATAAATTTCTGAAATTTCATGAAATATTTCACGTGAAATTTCAATATTTTATTTTTCATGAAATTTTGCCACCCTGCACCGGAGTCACTAATTTCTCGGCCCAATGTGGCAAATGCCGCGTTTCTGAGACATACACTTGAGCCGAGTAGCGCGAGCGGATAAAGAGCAGACTTTATTATGACAACTTCCGTCTCCTATTGTTTCATTTTTGATGGCGAACCTACTTTCAGTAATTATTTTTAGGTCGTGCCACCGAGTTTTGTGCCCTCATCAACTGGATTTATCCGAGCCAACGAGTTGTCCCGGCTCTTCGCCGATCACTCTTCCGGCCTTCCTCTTACAATTGACATTGTTGCCGTTTTCATGAAACTCCACTTTTCTCAGACAATTCGTCGCCCCTCTGACGTGAAGGCGTACCTCAATTTTCTCATGAGCCCTGTTTTACATGTAAATCCATACTTTCTGAGGCTCATTTGGAAATCGAGATATGCCCTTACGGCAGAGGAATGTCGAATTCTCTGCAGAAAAGCTTACTAAAATGATCCACGTTAAGCAGGAAGGAACCAAGCCACATCACCTATTGCCTTTAACCGGACAATGTATTTTTTTACAAGAGAACGTTTGTGCGGATTTCTTCGAAATTTTTAATGAGTTTGCTGCATAATATGCAGAAAATTTACTGATATTTGCACCAAAATCCGCACAACCATATTCATATGCAAAAAAATTGCCCAATTAAATCGGCAATAGCTGATGTGACTTGGTTCCTTTCTGCTTAACGTGGTCCAAACAGGCTTGAGTGGAGATCGTTCCCCTCCGCGGAGAACATCGCAAGCGCAACTGAGAATTTGCAGGTGTCTGATATTTGATGAGTTTCGTGTACAAGTGGAAACTACGCAGTGAACTGGGACATGAGGATACCCTTGGTTCATATATTAAAAGATTATTAAAGGAGTTTTGACAAAATGATCTATCTGCTAAAATACGTGTATTTCAAAAGGATTTGCCAGGTTATAAGACATTCCGTCAATGATTTCTTGTCCGTGCACCTGTTTTTTCTAGTAGTTTACGTCGACGTCCACACGTTTTTTTGGCAGGGGAGTTTCGGTCCACTCACCAATTGATACGCAAAGTTAGTTGGTCGCTTATGTAAATACAAACGACAATTGCTCACGACGTTTTTGGATGAAAATGTATAATGTCTTGAAAGAAAGGGTTTGCTTGTTCGATACCGCGGAGAAAAAGATATACCTAATTGAGATTTTTGATAAAAATGGGGGAGCGTCATTTCCATGAGGGCAATTTCACTAAAACTCCCTACACTTCTTTAGTGCAACAGGCCTTCAAATCTTTCAAGAAAATTCCATCTTGTTATACCTGAACCGGATAAACCTTTTGATTTGCCTCCGCTAAAGGTTCTCAGATTATGATTTGTAAATATTTGCACACTTCGCAAGGATTATTCTAATTTAAATTGAATTTTTAAAGGGGGAAAAGATGTATTTAAGGAAATTATAAAGAGAGTTTTGTAAATGTTAAGGTGGTTCAAATTTAATGATTTCCAAAGCGTTTTTCTTTTTATTAACCGGGCAATTTAAATTTCTCGTAATAAACGTTATTAAATACGAATGCTAAGACTTATCGAGTTTTTTGGACCATCCTTCTCTCTTTGTGCCGTAGTCTCTTGATTTACTTTGAGAGGAAAGCTCCGTACTCTTAAAGGATGCCTGTCATCCTCAATGTGTTGGAACAACAATTTCGTATGATACTGTGCAACACCTCTGTTGTGAAATCGTTGCTTGAGGTGGCATGGCAGGCTGCGGTGCGGCGCGGCTAGCGGCCGACCAGCGCTGAACGCGCATTGGCGCCTACAAACCTAAATGGATACTTCAAGCATTGCGCAATGCGTGAAGTATCCCGTTAGGTTTGTAGGCGCCAGTGCGCGTCACGCTGCAGCTCTGCTCTGAGTTAGGCTCGTATATCAACTCGCGGAGTCAGCGTTTTTCAACCCATGATTTTGAAATATTCGCACATTCTGCATGGATTATTCTCATTTATATTGATGAAAAATAAATGTGTATTGAAGAAAAATATAATGTGTGTTTCGTAAACATTAAGGTGGTTCCGTATCAACTTTAATGATTTACCCAGCACTTCAATTTTTTCTTTCATATTCTGTGCTTTTACTTTGCTGCAAAGTGTACGCGCAACTAAATGTCCGAAATTGGACGAATTGGACCTTAAAAGATCGACGTACAAGTGGGTTGAAACTTAAGAAGGGATGTGATACAACTTATATTATTTTTTAAAAAGGACATAAAAAGTAAATAGTGAGATAGGAGAGCGTTTTGTGTAGGCAGAATGCACAAAACCTAACAAAACTCCATAACTTTTCAGAATCAAGTTTTTCAATATTTTTTAGAATACCTGCAAACTCAAACGGTCTAATTTTTTAAAATTTAAACAATTTTTTTTAAGAAATGTTGAGGATATTTGAAGGATTTTAATGGCCAGAGAATGTTTTCTTCCCAACAAATAGCTGTGTCGAAAAGTTTCCTTTCGTGGGTTAAGATTTTTTTTACATATACGATCACGTTTTGATTAAGAAAATCTGTCATGAATGCTGACTCTTGGTGCGTCGCACCCAAGTCCATTAATGAAATGTATTGACAGCTAATCGGAGGTTATGTTTTCAGACAACAGTCTTACGCGAGCTGTAACACGGAGCTTCCACAAGATCGAAGCGACCAAACCTACTTCCCCCACGGTCCCCACGGCAGGCTACCCCAAAAAGTATTCACCCAAGTCCTCCAGCCCAACCGGCCCAAACGATATCATTCCCAATGCTGTCTCAGGTACTCCTTTTTATCTTAGCATGCTTTTTTCCCTGAACGCTTTCTCGTCGTTTCCAAGACCTCAGCATGCAGTTTAAAAAAAAAGCTTACGTATTCATGAAAAAATAAAAATAATTTAAGAGGCATTCGAAGAATTACAACAATTCGAGATCGTGTTCAAAGATTAATACTTGAAAAAAATAAAATGTGCATGGTCAGCCTGAGAGAGAAAAGGGGGAAAACATTAAATTCGTCGTTTTCCCCATGAAAGAACGTAATTCATTTCAATATTGCCAAATTTTTCCTCGAAAATTATATTTTCCCAAGGAAAATGTTAGGCATTTCTGACTAAAAATTTCACTTAGTTTTCTTGTGATTTTAAGCAAAAATCAGACAAATTTTGGTTAAAAATCTCACAAATATACTCTTGTAAAAAAATCGAATCGCATGAGTCAATGTTGTAACCTTGGAATGGAGTTACGTTTCTTCTTCGGGGGAAAGACGAACTCTGCCATTGAATCTTTAAGTAAAATAAATGAGGTGCCTAACTTTTCGTGGAGGATGTTGTCTTTTCGTTAATTTTTTTTTTCAAGTGCACAATGATTCTGATGAAATCGTAAAATGTTCCTTTAACGTTAAAAACACCAGACAAAAACACAAACATGGCCACAAAGCTAAAAAAATAAAGGGGGAAAAAAACTTGAATGTCTTAACCCAAGTACAATCCCATTTTTAATTGAAGCAAAATGCAAGAATTGCCTCTCTAGCTGCTCAAATTTATTCTAACAGACTCAGGTCTTCGGATTCCTATAATATATCACATGAGAGTGAATTAAAAATCGAGAAAAAGAGAAGAAGGATGAAAGGGCGAGGAATGAGAACAAGGAAGAGAACATATAGTAGAATAGGGGAAAGAGGAGGATAATGAGAAGGAGGAAAAGGAAGAAACAGGGAAAATGAGAGGATGATGGAGAGGGAGCAGAAAAAGAGAAGGAATAAAGAAGAGAGAAGGATGAAGAATTTCTTTTCAATCGTCTTTTTCCTCCTTTTTCATCCATCTACTCCTCTTTTGTTACTTTCTTCTGCTCTGCTACCTCATTATGCATACCTAATAATGGAGAGGCAAAGATTTTGGTTTAAAAGACACTAGTTTTTCAGATTAAGGTTAAAATTGGCGAGCATTTAAACCTTTTCAACTTATCATACGGTTCGCTACAGAGGCTTCCTCAGAGCGTCAAAGGCTATAAAAAATTTTAATGCAGCATAAACCCGATCTCATACGCACAGAAAAAATAAGGAAGAATAACGTGGGAAATCTTCTCAAAATCTTGGACTGTCGAATCCAACCAGCAGAGCGACTCAAAGTTCCGGGAATACCTCACGGGATTAGAAACTTATTATAAGTTTTCTTTTGTTCCCACCGATAAGTTCCCCCCGGTAAATACCTGTAATAATTTTCGATAAACCTGATTGGGGAAGTTTAAGGACTGATACGAAATATAGACATTGTTGCCGAAATATTCGTTCAATTGCACACATGTGCACATAGGATTGACACATATATTGCCATGAAAACTCTCAGGTCAATATCAGTCAAAATTAAGTTTAAAATTACACCTTTTAAAGCCACAGAAAGCTGTAAACCAAAAATGCATTTTTATATTCAGTTTCAGTCTTCATATCTTATCTTGCGTAAATTTAGGAAATTCCAGCTAAAGAATATAATTCGTGATCAATTCTGTATACTTTGGAGTATGTGTTCAAATAAAAGTCTGCTTGCGACTGTTCATGAGAGAAGCGATCACAGACCACGGACATTGAAAAAATTAATTCCTCGATATCAAAGCGCAAAAGGAGGCTCTACAAACATCTTGGAATTAAAAAACACAAGCAGCAATTGAGGAGTCAGCAGGAAAAATTGTTTTTCGTGATCTCCACTAGGAGCAAACTTCGGTAAAGTTTTAAGGATACCTTCATTTTCTGAGTAGGCAATTTTGCGGTTCAAGAACACAAATAGTGGTATCAAAAGGGCTGTCGACGCTAGCTCATTCTCAGCCCGACGCATTGCGTTGTATCTCGCTCTCTAATTTTCTGAGCAAGCTTCCTCTGTTAAAACAGCTCAGCTATTCATTCAGTTTATACAATAGTGTGAAATATTTGCAGATATTGAGGACCGTCGACAGGAAAAGGGACATCATCTCAGTGAGACAATGCTCACAGTAAAGCGAGTTTTGTTCGTTAACCTGTAAGGATTGAACAATATTGTAAATACTAGAAAACTCAGACTTTTCAATCAGTAATGCTCAGGATGCTTCAATAGTGATGCTGTAGAGTCAATAATTTTATTTTGAATTTTTGCGGACAGTGGTCACTTATCCCCTGGACGATCACAGATAAGATAAAAACCTACTAAAAACCCATAGAGAAAAAAAAGGAGGTGTTTGCATCTTGAGGATTTGTACCCACCTACGTCATCACTGTAAACAAGACACTCGTTGAGGGTTATGTTGCCGCTGTAAAAACGGACCATAATGTCCGATTTTTTTACTTAAATCAACTCTTTATATAATTTCAAGAACTTTTTATAGAATGACTTTTTCCCTTAAATTACACCATTTCCAAGAAAATCGACGGGATAAAAACGTCGCTGTACCCACTGACGTCATCAAAGCTATAGATAATCTATGAAAAATTCCAAGATGCCCGAAATGCAAACACCTCCTTTTTTTCTCTATGCTAAAAACCTAACTTTGATTGATAAACACAATGTGAGTGACGGTCCTAAACAAGGTAGACTACGGTGGCAAAGACATTGAATTGAAATATTTTAGCCTACAGAATTTCGAGGAGAAAATACTGACCTTTCGGTAAATTTTTCTTGTCCTTTTTCCCAGTAGTGATTTTGCAAAGGCATTTCAGACACTAATGATTGATTTTAATCGACATTTATAAGAGTGTGTTTATAACCTGCCAAATTTTTGAACTAGAAACTCAGAGCCGCCATAATTACGACCCAAAGACATAAAGACGGAGCACTAAAAGCAAAAAATGAAGCTTCTAGAGCTTCTTTTCAATCACCTCTACTATTGGCTAGAGGATTGGCGGCGAAATCGGGACAAGTTTGAATTCAAATGTAGGGCGAGAACTAATAAATAAAATTGCGGAAACAAAGTATTTTAGGTTGATTTTTGCCCAAATTCAGGTACATACTCATATTTTTTTAAATTTAGGATAGTTTCAGTCCGTCGTCGACCGATTAATTTCATTTGGGAGTAACGTTGATCTAGAACTGTAACGGCCTGTTTGAACCTGCAGAACCACCATGAGCAGAAGAAAAAGTAACTTTATCTGAGATTACTGCCTGTTACCGAGCAAAAGTAGGTGTATTATATTAGGACGCAGACCGAACTTTCTTAATATATTCGTTTTAGGAATTTAAAATACGTTTCAAAGAAGAAATGTGCAAAAATCAAGAGGACAAGTTCAAATCAAATTTCCGTTTGCCGCCATGGATTCCCGCGCTCATTTACACACTCACACAAGCGCGCAGCGCCGAACGTAGCTTCACTTTTTCCCCGTGCTTTTAGATACGAGCGCTCCGTCTTTATGTCTTTGTTACGACCACGTTTGAGGTTTTTGGCAGTTTATTGGGGCACAAATATTCGAAGAAAATTTCACTACACTCAGGTATCAACAACTTAATTTTGAGTTTTTGTGGACAAATCTCCCTTTCTCTATGAACAATCGCACATATCGTGTGTTCTATCATTGTTTCTCACCATTCCTACCAATGACTTGGCATCCTGAGCGTTCATAAAAACGGAGGACAAAGAACGTGAAAAGATCTGCGTCCACCCTGTAATCCACCCCTCCCCCTTGGGCCCAGTCCATCCCCTATTCGTCATGGTCCCCTCAGACGGCTAGAATTCGTTATTCCCGTAAGAAAAAGCAGTAGTTACACTTTGAAATGATCCCCATTGTCTATACAACTCCTCGCTTTCCAGAGCCCACGTGGAAATGGAGATCTGCTTCGCGTTAGGGGAGCGACGAAATGTCGATTTCGGTCTGTAGGTGGTTTCGTCACCCCTTGACATCCATCGCGTCTTCGTAAAGGTGGATTTAAGTTTGATAGATTAATTGATTCTATGTTTGGGAACTACTGTCACATCCCGCCGTGAACCGAGTTCAGAGGATTGAGAGCTTACAAGACAAGGGATGGCCTGGACACTCGTGTTTGTTCTTCCACGAAAAAAAAGCCTCGCGGTTCGTTCAAAGCGACGAGTTTGAAGAAATCCACCCCTCTGTGAAGATTCAGGGGTCGCGGTAGGGTTGAGTCTACCAGAAGGGAACCGACACACGTTTTTGAAGAAAAATTGAGTTTCAAGCACTATTAGTTTTTTTCATCGTTTACTATTCTGCTGTGCTAAGGAAAAACGCCGTATGAACCTTCAAGTGTTGTCAAATTTCCTTCAATGAAACAAGAATTTCCTGGTAAAAATATATTATTTTCATCTTAACTTTTTACATAATTTTGTTCGAAATTTCACCTAAAGTTATTGAAAACTTCAAGTACAAGTATTCGAAATTGTCTTCAAAAATAAATATTTTATCGTAGGAAAATTTGAAGTCAGTTGATGTATTACTGTGCATCAGAAAATGAAAAGTGATGAACTAAGATTCAACCAAAGAGCTTCGAAATATTAGCCTCACCTTTTCAATGGTAAAAAATGTAAACTTTGTATTGTTGAAAACGAGTTTTTACCTCAAGCTAAAACTTTCAGTGAAGGATTGTATCATTATAAGCTTTCCTTAAGGCCACAATTAAACAAAATCCCTGAGTTTCCCAAGAAAGGAGCACTTTTTTAACCGGCTCTATAAAAGGTCAGAAATCGGCAGATAAGGGTGGCAATTTACCACGAAGACACGGGGATACTCTGTTTTCTCGCTGATTCATATTTTTCATATTTTTACAACAAGACAGCTATTTTTGCTATTTTGGCTATATCCGCGGCAAAAAAGTG